GAGTTATGGGATCTCTTATCACTTATATTTTTCTGAGTTTCAGGGTTTGGTTGCAAATGGCTCTCTTCCTGACCCCAGCCGGAAACAGCATTGAAATGAACATGTGACCTTACAGTAAGGTTAAACCTTGTAGTAAGGTTAAGGCTTACTGGGAAATGATATATAATGAATTGAAAAAGATGTTTAAAATAACTTTTGTTTAAAAAAATGCAAATCAGAAGCTTTCCTTTTGGGAATTATAGGGACAGAACTCCCCAAACTGTATAGAAATTTATTCATGTATGTGACTACAGCGGCAAGAAAGTTACTTGCCCCAAAATGGAAAGAAGTCCCAGCAAAGGAAGAATGGATGTGCAGAAATGGCGAAACTTACCGGAAAAATAAGAAATCAAGATAATCAACTTTTTATAAAAGAATGGAAATGGTTTATGGAATATTTACAAACTAACTGTAAACATATAAGAACATTGGCAGGATTATTGTAATAACCTGCAGTTTTATAAGAGTATATATTTAAAGTAGACGAAGAAACAAGCAAATTAAGTTAATTTGGATACGCAGAAAATATTAAAAATAAATTTAAGGAACTGCAGAAAGAGGGGGAAGGAAATCAAGTTTTGAAGAGTTAAGATGATAGTATAATTATTGAAATGTATAAAGCTGAAAATCATTGTGTGTGAAATGAGCATGTAAACTTTCACTAGATACCACTAGATTACCAGAAGCAGCTTTTATGACATGTGAAAAAGCACATAAAATGTGGAAATTTTCAGGCATTGGAATAAAATGCTGACTGAACGCAGCCAAAATCCTCTTCCTGGCTCACTTTCTCCCTCTAAATTCCCTGCTTCCTTTCCCGGTTAAAAGCTCAACATCAACTGAGGTGAGAACAGTATTTATACAACTTCAGGGAAGTCTTTGGAAATTAGGGATAATGCCAATCAGTGGCGTAGCGTGGGGGGTGCAGGGGGGGCCGGCCGCACCGGGCGCAACATCTGGGGTTAGAGCAAATCCACAGGTTAGGGGGCGCAAATCCACGGGTTAGGGGGCGCAAATTACTTGCCTTGCCCCGGGTGCTGACAACCCACGCTACGCCACTGATGCCAATCTCACTACTTTGTCCTCTGCAAGCCTCGCAGGGATAGGATGATGTCCAAACGTAATCTGGTCACGTCGGAAGGTTTTGCCAGTTGTTCTGTTGCCAAAACGGCACCTACTTTGAGTGCCCACATCGGTTAGACTAATACACTTCACGATGAAATCAGCACTGACAGCGGGGAGCCCATCTATTACGGGAAATAATTTGAAGGATCAGAGAGCGGCTTGTTAAAATCAGTCAAATGTTGGCAGAACTATCAATGGTTATTGGCATTTTTATTGTCTCACGAGGTAAAACAGGCAAATTAATGAATGCAGCAAGGAATATTATTTCTGTTACCAGTGCATTTAGTTAAGCCATAATAAACAGGAAGGAATTGAGGCTGTGGACAAGGGGGAGGAATTTCTTCCTTCAGGAATGACCGCTCCCCACATTAAATGGGGGGGGGATTTGCCTGGTCGCACGCAGCCCCCTGGACCCTATGCAGAACCATTAGCACAGGCTTGGCTTCGCCTTCCCCAGGTGGGATACCTGGAGGTCTCCGCCTACCTCAGCCAATTGCCCAATCCCGCCTGGGGAGGCGTTGCCAAGGTGATCAGGCCAGGTAGGGGGAGGGACCACCCTGCCCACACAATATTCTTACCTGGGAAACTTCAGTTGCCTCCAGAGCTTCTCCCTCCCTACCCACCCTCAGTTAAGACTTTTGCAGGTTAACCCTTTCTCCACAGGTACGCGGGCGCTGCTACGTCAAGGTCGCTGTTGAAGGGCCGGAAAGGAATTCTTCTGCATTGGCAGGTTTGCCTTTCCCGTAGCAAAACGTCACAACTTTGGCGCTATCAGGCCTTGGGCGGAATCCTTTAGTCTATCTTCCCTAAATTGGAGGTGGGCGTGTAGCAGTGACTCACCACCCCCTTCTCTTTGCGGCAGTGATCCCAGGGTTCCCGTTAAAGGGGTTGTTTGAGGAGAGGCTTTGGCCATACGCCTAGAGGTTGTCATTGCTCTCCCCTGCGACGGCGGCATAACGGGGGCTGGCTCTCTCTGCTTGAACATATGTTCTCCAGAGCCACCCCACCCACCGCACACACTCTGGATAACCCTGATGTTGGAATGGGAGGGATAAACGCCCAGTGCCTGAGCCAAGGTCTACCCACATCTGAAACATAATAAAGTTGTGGCCAATTTTAATCCCATAGCACGTTGTCTTGAGTCGTTATTCCACACGGGGGCTGCCCAGGGTTTTGGGGGACTCCGCCTGTCCACACAATTAAAAGGCAGGCACATTACAACTGTTGAATGGAGCAGTCACAGAGAAGCAAGCTATTGCCCTTCTGAGTATCAGCCAGGTGAGGTATCAGCCAGGTGTGGTTGCCCCACAGGGCACCATCACTTATTTTGTTGTCCTAATGGTGGCCCTCAAGTGGCAGCTACGGCCATTCTCTCACAAAGAAGCTCACCTGACTAATTCTGCAATGGAATCCTCTGTCAGATTTTTTAACCCTTGCTGGATCCAGGAGTCCAGGAATTAGAAGGGACTCATCATACAGACTGATCCCCCCCCCCCAAAAAAAAAACCTGACAGCAGTTATTATTGGGGTTGGAGGATATACTTTTCTTGGCTTGTAAGCCTCCATGCAGTTCAGCTGAGGCTTATCACCCCCTCTCTGCTCATCTGATGCTCAGGGAAGACATGGTTTACATCCCTATTAGCAGAGCTTTTTTTTCAGCTGGAACCCATTGGAACTCAGTTCCGGCACCTCTCAGGTGGGTGCCATTGCCATTATATAAGAGAACAAGGGAATTCCAGCACCCCTTTTTCTAGAAAAATAGCACTGTCTATTAGGGCTCTGCATGAACTCCAGGGATGTGTTTACTTTAATCCTTTTCTCTTTTTGCTGTTGCTTCCAAAATAAGTGAGATCTTGTGGGGAGGACCAGCTCCCCAACTGGGGGATGGCCACCCTGATCTAAATTTTGCAACACTTGCCATGGCGAGTGCTGAGTCCTGGATGTGGGGGACAGATTACTGATTCAGGGCATCTCCTTAAAACCCAGAACACCAAGCTGGAGAGAGATACCGTATTTTTCGCTCTATAAGACGCACCTAGTTTTAGAGAAAAAGAAAAAAATATATATTCTCTCCCTCTCTGTGCAGTGCCTCTTCAGTGAAGCGAAGCCAGGAGAGCAAGAGGGGTTGGTGCATACCAATCCTGCTTGCTCTCCTGGCTTCAGGGATAGCCGGCCGAAGCCTCCGGAGCGCAGCGGGAGCGCTCCTCCCGCTGCGCTTCGGAGGCTTCGCGTTGCTTTCGCTGAAGCCATGGAGCCTCCATTCGCTCCATAAGACGCACACACGTTTTCCCTTACTTTTTAGGAGGGGAAAAGTGTGTCTTATAGAGCGAAAAATACGGTAATTTTGCATTAGTCTTAGGCAGGGAACATCTGCTCTCGACACAGGTTTCGAAACTGCGTCTAGCAGGTCCTCTAAATTTGGAAGCCTGTCAGTCCCGCCAGGACGCATTGCCAGGAACAATAGTTCAAGCGAGGTTCCCGAGCAGCTGCAAGCACAGTGGATTGAGAGCTAATTGGCCTATTTATTGCAGATAATTATGCATATCGTTATAATTGAAGGAGCATCATTTTTATGGCTGCTGTGCGGCATCCCGGGCTTTTCAGGTCGATTGTAGTAGGGTTCTTTTTGAAAATGCACGTGGCAGATGCACAGTGTGGTCTGTGTGAAATAATTGTGCATATGCTTGCGGCACCTGAAGTTTTCCAGCTAATCTCCAGAGATGGAGAACATAATTATTTATACCCAGCCTCTTACCTTCCTCTAAAATACTTGACTGCTGTGCAGATCCACCTGCTCTGGAGAGAGGGGACAGGAAGCAATTTAAATGAGAGACTCAAATAGGACTTCTCCAGGAGAGAGAACCTGACTCTCCAGGGGTCAATCTTTTGGTCTTGGAAATGGCATCACCTACAGACAAAAGGGAAGTGGCAGCAGGTTTGGGGGACCTCAGAAGTTTACAGAACTAGAAAAAAAAGTAAGGAGGAACCCACACTGCTCAATTGAGGCAGTGCAAACTTGGCAGGCATGGTGGTTGCTAGCTGCCTGTTAGAGAGAAGGGGAACAGAAAATCAGGGGAATGGAACGGAGTCTCGTGGCATAAGACCTTGCCGGCTGGCTGGCTAAAACCCAGCCTCACTTGTCCTCTCTATTTCTGATGTTCAGGACGGGAGTGCCATTCCTTACATAGCCAAAATGGAACCACAAACATTCTGTTTTGAGTTCCACAATGGACAAAAGGAAGGATACAAATGACAAGCAGATCTCCATGCAGACCTCATGCACATTCCTTTAACGCAGACAAATTCTTTCCAACCTACCTACCTTCACAGCTTGTCTTGAGAATAAAGGAAGAAGGAAAAAAGAGGGACCCTCTCCTAATGTGGACATTAGTCAAAATTGCAAACAAAGGTGTTTCTATTTGGAGAAGTTCGCACCGAATGCCTACAAACTCTAATGACGATTTAAAAAATATGTATCTCAGATTGCAATGGAAAATGCAAATAACTGAATTTAAGAAGTCCATCAGTATTGCCTGATGTGGACACTAGGTTGAGCGCAGCAAAAATATTAACTGGGTCAGCAGAAAACATTATTCTCAGATAGAGTTAACATTACAGGCTAAAACTAACTGGAAGCAAAATGTTTATAACGAGTAAAACCCCACAAAAACCTTAAGTTATTTTGAAATTTCTATTACATTATTTTTTTTTTGCAATAACCCAATCAGTTCTACTTTTCTTCAGCAATTTCCAAACGTGTGTGGTGTTTCTTCACAGCCACAACAAGGTGTTTTTTTACGTATACGCTTCAAGAAGAATCACACACAACACAGAAAATAAAAGAAAAATTGTATTTTCAAAATCATTTTTTCTTAGTTTCCTCTAGATCAAACTGTCTTGCTGTTCATAATTTACAAAGCTCAAAACAGAAATAAGAGGAGCCAAATCAAAGTAGCAACATGAGGCGCCAACCATTTGTTTCAAAACAATGTCAACCATCCTTTTGAAGCTTAAAATAAAGAATTTTTAAAAATAAAAAATCAAGGGGGAAACAACATCTGGAGATTTTCACCAAATCCAGCTTATCAAGCACATCTGGAAACACCCAGTTTCCTCAAAATACACTACATTGAACTTACAGGTGAAAAGGAATGAAAATTCTCTCTGGAAAATTCGTATCTAAGGGCACTGAGAGAGCCTGAGCTACAAGATTGTGGACACTTGTGGACCAATAATCACCAAACAGAGGGCTGAAAACCTTAGTTATTGCAAAAAAGGAAAAAAAAGTGTAACCTGGCAGGGAGAGGATGCATTTTACAGTGGCGAAACTGCACATCTTCACTTTCCCTCTGCAACCATGATGCACTCAACACTGCTCATGCAGAGTGTTCCTCCTCTTCACCCTGCAGCCAGCACTACCAAAATCTGCTTCGGAGGGTTCCCCCAACCCTCTAGAGCAGATTTCTGGGGCATGTGGGAGGCTGCAAGGAGGAGAAAAGGAAGGGGAAGTCCTGTTGCGCAAGCAAGAGGCCTATCCTCATTGCACAATGGCAGGGTTGGATACGGACATTAGCTCAAGGCCACAGGCACATTAGGAGCACAGTTTACTAGGAAGTGACGGCCTAGCCTCATAGTGAAGGAGAGTCACACAGCTCCTGTCTGCTCTGGTAGGGCTTGCACAGGAGAACCTCCCAAGGGATCCTAATTTAAGGTATTTGTTTGGCAGTTGTGCAGAAGATACAACTTCTCAGGTGGAAAGGCTGCATGCAGCTTCCATAACAGCACTGGGAGTTTCAGCCAGCTGAATGCTCTCGCTGGTTGACAGATACTCAATAGCTGCTTGTTATTCACATGCTAACACTGCCTGAACAGCCCCTTGCTGGCCAATGTTCTTCCAGACCAGCTGCTCACAGCGTGGTTAGGATCCGATCCTGCAGCTCTGAGCCATTTCAACACACTCACTGCGCCCGAATGAGGAAAGGGTGAACTGAAACCGTGAAAAATGGAAAAATGTGTCCAAGATTCACACTATCCCACATTAAACAGGCAGTTCCCAAACCAAAACAATGCCAGAATTCCATTTATCTTGTATTGCAAAGGGAAGGTGGAAGAAGAACAAAGGCCCGCCTTTGTCTGACAGACAGTAAGAGTCTACAGGGACTTTCCTGATGACTCAAGCTTGTGGCTTTTATGTTCATAACAGAAGCTCTTCCTGCACATTCACCTGAGTTCTGTCCCCGCTATGACCCTGGGGTCTGTTCTTAGAGAAACGCAGAAGGGTAATCCAGGACAGGAGTGGAAAGGCCTTGGAGAACTGGAAAAGTGGGTTAAATGTTTTACCGTAAGATCACATATGCTGAAACACTCAACAGCACTGAAAAGGCACAATTAGGTTCACAGTTAAAAGGGGTGTTTGAAGCAGATATACAAAACCCAGGCGAGTCTAGTGGAAGGGATGCCTTTAATTTCTAATACCACCGTAGAAGCACCTGTCAGATGCATGAACCAGCCAAGCAGGTACAGGTCTTTATCAAGTGATATCAGGTGGAGCAACTCTGTCAAATGGGTCATTATTATTATTGCTGCTCTCCACAAAGGGCAACGATCAGTTGGGAAAGATTCAGGTGATTTGCTCTGCGCATGCAGCCACACGATGAGCATACACTTCCCAGCTATGTATTCAGCTGAAGGCACCTTTAATGGAAGCCAGTGCCACTTCTGAAGAAGCACTAAGCTAGGCAGATTTGGTCCCAACTTATAAGTCAGTTAGGCATAGAAAAGGACTATTTTTCCATTACAGCTGTGGCTCCTGTATAAGAAAATTTCCCCAGGGCCTCACAAGTTGTATATAAACAGAGACTAAAGCAGTAGGATAGTAAAGTACAAAGGACAGCAGAGGAGAACTTATTGTCTCAAAATACCATATATTAAAAAAGGGTTCCCTGTGGTTTAAAAAGAAGCATCATCCCCCCCAGCAGATAGGTGAAAAAGGGGGTGGCAACTTGCGGCTTTGAACGAAAAGTCATGTCATTTGCTGTTGCTCGATTTGGACAATCAAATGCAGCTGTCTCTTTGCAATGGCGGTATTTAGGTCCCACAGAAACTCCAGCAACTGCCCCTTTAGAAGGTTCTCCATAGGCACAAACTGCAAGACTTGCTGCGGGGAGTCCGAGTCAAGCAGTACACCCATGAGCTTCTTTAGCTGCTGCAGGTATTGGAAAACCGGATCTGGAAGACCTTGGTAGCCAGCACAAAGCAGTACAGCGCTGGCCCCTAAGAGATGAGATGAGGTTGGGCAAGCAAACGAGATGTGCTGGAAACAACTGTGCAGAATGAAAACCAAGCCAGCAGTGAAGCGCGTAAAACAAGAAAGAAGGGGCAGGAGCAAACCGTCCCCTTCCTGAAGCTCTGGGAACGAACGCAAAAGGCACTCCAGGAGCTGCTGCTGGTATTTTGGTTCCCCGTCGTGAAGCAACGAACAGCTGAACGTTGAGAGTGATGCAGACTCCAAGCGTTTAACTTCTAAGCCAGATGGGCTGTTGGCATCACAAAGCAATGGGAAGCCTACAGTCAAGCACGTTCTTTGGCCAACGCAACCTTCATTTGGAACCTCCATAAGTTCAGACAATTCAGACAGTATCAGTGATTCCGTAAGAACACTGCAAGATTGGCACTCTTGCTGTGCCAGGCTTCTGAGGGCGCCAACGCTTGCCCTGCCAACGAAAGATTTCTCAAGAGCTTCATTGAGGCTCTTCAGGACCTCACCATCACAGAAGGGAGAACACTTCACTCTTGGCAACCTCTGCCCCTCCAAGATGTACCATAACTGACACTCCAGGCTGCAAGAAGCCCCTTCCAAGATGGAATTTTTCCCGACGTTACCGAGGGAATGTTCTTCAGCCCATTGATTAAGACAGCCCTTGGCCACTTTCTCCTCCCATGTCAGAGACTCCAGAATCTTCCTCTCGTTGTACGTGCAAAAGTATTTGTTCCTCTGCCCGCACCATTTGGAGTTCATGCTACAGCCCGCACGGGGCTTCTTCACAAGCCAGTTATTTCTGGCAATAGGTTTCATCTGGAACCGCTTCAAGAAGAACTCGACGGCGCAATCCCGTAAAGCGTTCAGCCTCGCCTGCTCCACCTCGCCCATGCGCTCAAAGAGTCGGAGGTTCTCAGCAATGGTCTCGATTTGGTGCCTGTGGAAGAACGAACAGCACTCTTCGTGGACTTTGAGGAAAGATTCCGGAATGGAGTGTTGGGGGAAGAGGGCCTTCTCGACCATGTCCGTCCCAAAGTTCTGCATCATCTTGGACAAGAGCAAGTGAATGGCCTCCCTGCCCAAATAGTGAAGGCAGACCACATACACCTCAGAGTTCCCAGCTTTACTAGTGGCTGGTTTAAACACGTGAACCTCTTCGAAAGAGCAGTTCAGCAGATACAGCAAGCTAACGGAACAATGTTCAAACAGAGTGAACATCTTCAGAACGAAGGAGCCCCCGAGGCCAAGGGTCATTAAAGCAGTGACCGTTTCGCAGTAATGCAAAGAGGAAACCAGGGCTTCTTGCTCGCCTGGATTTCCTTGGCAATCAAAGCTCCCATCGGATGTGACCAGGTGAACGGTGGCCATGTTGCTGATGAACTGCTGCAGTCCCGTGAGATGTTTGAGCGTCATCACATCCCCCGTGTTCTCAGGGCCAAAATACCACCAGGGCAGAGTGTTTGCAATAAGCCTGTCATCCATAATCATCATCAGGGTATCGTTTGCTTCATGGTACGGGTTCAAGGTATTAGCTACCCAATTCCAGTCGCAAGGGATGCGGTGAGACTTGAGGTAGTGATTGAGGCTGGCTATGAAGGCGCCAGGAGCCTCACAGAGATGGACAGAGTTGAGTTCGCCATTTTGAAGAGCATCGCTTGGGAGGAGAGGGAAGCTGCCCAGGATCTCATGGAATTTGCACCAAGCTTGGGTACACAACTCAGCATTTACGGCTTGCTTGATGTGAGCAATGATCTTCCCTGCTTTGTTGGTGAAGGATGTGTGCTGATGCCACTCATCTAATTTCTTGTCGCTCAGCTGGTTCTTGACTTCATTCAGGGAATCCTTCAAGGAGGCAAGGGAACTGAACTCTTTGTGATCGCAGCTAAAAGCCTGGTTAGGATCCGGCAGCTGCCATTCATTGTTGGGTGGTTTGGTATACGAGAACTTCTTCCCAAAGAGCTTCTCGATTTCAGCAATGATATCAGAACCAAACTTGTCAAGGGTTGTGGTCTGCTCAGCATATGCTGCCTTCTTCTGCTTGTTCATTCTCAGACCGAGACAAACCCTGGAGAAAAGAGGAGAAAACCAAATGAGGAGGGAAAGGACTCAGGGGAGATCACCTGCTTTGCATGCAGATGATCCCAGCTTCAATCCCCAGAATCTCCAGGTAGGGCTGTGAATATCTCCTGTCTGAAATTTAGAGGAGTCGCTGTCAGTGTCAGTATGAACCTGGGGTTAGGAACCTTTTTCTTTCTCCCCCCCCCAATTTTTTTCAATTAGTTTTCCACATTTATAACAAATATAACATATAAAAGACACAAAACACATTACAATACTAAAAAATAAAAACACTTATTACTTCTAAAATCCAAATTAACTTTCATTGTTATCTGATTTCCTCAAATCCCCGCTAACTGAATTTCATTGTGATACCTTTGTGACAGTTCTCCAATATCATCTTTCTAATACAATTAACTCCTTCCATTTACTATCTTCATCTCTTTTATTATTAATTTAAATCCATATTACTACACAACATTCTTATTCTAGTCCTAGGCCTATTTGATACTTTCAAGTACCTTCTAATTATCTGTGAGGAACCTTTTTCAGCCCAGGGACCGCATTATTTTCTGGACGACTTTTGGAGGGCCCCATGGCTGTGTTGGGTAGGACCAGAGGCGGAAGTAGGCAGTGCATCAAAAGTAAACTTTACCTTTGTACTGTAAGCTGGTTTCTACTCTATCCTCCACCCAATATCAGACAATCAGACAATATCAGACAAGGAGGCAATATCAGACTTCAAGACCACATTCCAGGTAAAGAAACCCAGGGTGTGAAGTGAGCAGTGGGGAAAGCTCTGAGGATCAAATAAAGGGGTGGGGGTGGGGGATACATTTGGCCCCCAGGCCTGAAGCCCCTCACTCCTGGTATAGACAGTGCTGAGCTAGATGGGCATTGTAAAGCAGCTATACGGGAGGGGGTTTTCGAGGGAGGGGGGCGTTTAGTAATGGTTGATAAGCTCTGCTGACGGGCCGTTCCTCTGGCGTGTGATGGGAGTTGTAGCCCAGCAACTAGAGAGCCAGAAAGTCAAGGCATAGCAATAACAGGCTCTACCAACGGCCCATGGACTGCAAGAAGATCAAACCTATCCATTCTTAAGGAAATCAGCCCTGAGTTATATCCGGAAGGACAGATCCTGAAGCTGAGGCTCCAATGCTTTGGCCACCTCATGAGAAGAGAAGACTCCCTGGAAAAGACCCTGATGCTGGGAAAGATGGAGGGCACAAGGATAAGGGGACGACAGAGGACCAGATGGTTGGACAGTGTTCTTGAAGCTACTAGCATGTGTTTGACCAAACTGCGGGAGGCAGTGGAAGGCAGGTGTGCCTGGCGTGCTCTGGTCCATGGGGTCACGAAGAGTCGGACACGACTAAATGACTAAACAACAACAACCAATAGTCCAAATCTGCACCCCAGTTTTGGCAAAACGCCCCCTGCATGATTTCTGTGGCAAGCACTCAGGGCCTATGTAACTACACGACACAATTCCCAAAGGCAAATGAAGTTGTTTTTTAAAGAAGTCAGGTATGCATCACATATCCAAGGAGCACACGCTTCTTGTAATTCGCACGTTAAGCTAGCGACAGCAAAGTATGCGTGTACGTTCATTAACGCGGACAAGACCTCGACCCCGCCCCTTCCGCTACAACCATGCATTCAAAGAGGATCTCCTTTTGATCTCCAATCAATACCCATGACGAATGAGGGGGGGGGGGGAAACACCAAACCATTATCCGTGTAATTAAAAGTATTCACCCCCTACGCTGAAAACCCTCGCCAACAGCTGCGCATGCGTGCTTCCCTTTATGGTTGAGGCCGGGAGAACGCTCCTTCCATTTCCGCGCAGGCGCACTTCGAGGCTCTAGTCGTTTTCCCTTTCGGGTCCGCACTGTGAAACCGCCTCTCCTCTCGCCTTTTCCGGACCAGCCGCGCACGCGCAGAACGCTTTCCTCCTACCACCCTGTCGCGAGAGCCCGCCCGGTTTCCCGCGCGGCTTGGGCGGTTTCCACCCACCGGCCAATCGGAGAAGGCATGTGGGGGGCGGGGCGGAAAGGCGGTTTGGGCCGGCGGATGTGACGTCGGCAGCGGCGACCAGAGGCGGAAACTCTTGTGAGGGGGACGAGGCTGTTCGGAGAGTCCGTTTTAATGAAGAACCTCGCGGGCGGCGTTAAGGCCAACGTAGGTATCGAGGCATAAGCCGCATTGTGAGGCCCGCCCGAAAAATAATATATAAATATTGTAGAGAAATGGCAATAAATGAATAAGTAAGCTTTCATGAGCCATGGGCCACTTTTTATCAGATGCATGAAGTGATGTATCCGAGTGTTTACGGCTAGCATAACAAGAGCAGTTGGGAATCTGCTGAGGGGATCGATGTTCAGCTCTTCCTCTACCCTCTTTGGCCCAATATGAATCGGCACATTGTAATCAACTGCACGTCCGCCACGTTAGCTGACTAACTTTAAGTACCTGGCAAAGTAGGTTGTGACCCATGGAAGCTTATTGGAGGAATCTGCACAGGAGCGAAGAGGAGGAGATCTCAAAAGCACGTTCAGGAAATTACAGTGAAGCCCAATTTCATTTTTAAGTAGCAGGACTTACTCAGAGGTAAGAATTCGCCCCTCTCCTTGTACATTTGTTTTGGGGCAGAGATCCTGACTTTGTCTTAAACTGACGTTCCCTATTACAAAAAGAAAAAAAGACCAACTAAGTTTTTTATTGGTATGAGCTTTCATGTTCACGCACACTTCTTCCGATACAGTGGTACCTCTAGATACGAATGGGATCCGTTCTGGAGCCCCGTTCATATCTAGAAGTAAACGTAACTAGCGACGGCACGTCTGTGCACGCGCGCGTCGCTTTTCGCCGCTTCTGCGCATGTGCGTGATGTCATTTTGAGCGTCTGTGCATGTGCAAGCGGCAAAACCCGGAAGTAACGCACGCCGTTACTTCCGGGTTGCCGAGGAGCGCAACTCGGACGCGCTCAACTCGAAGCATCTTCAACCCAAGGTATGACTGTACACTGAAACAGAAGTCAGAAGACCCTTATATATAGTGAGAGGGTGGGGAGGGGTATTACTCAGAAGGGTGGTGGGAGTGGGTGATTATGTTCAAACCCTGTTTTGTGTCAGATAATCTGCTTATTATCCTGGTTAGTTAACATTATGCTGGTTTGTGTGTTGCCAGAAATTCGGTTTTAAAACAAGCCCTGCGAGGGAGAGGAGTGTGGCGGGGTGTGGGAAGGAATATACCAGCTCAGAATTGGTTTCCAGCTTCATAAACTGGTTTGTGGAATGTACTTCTGAACAAAGCCATTCAATCAAATGCCCCTCAAGAAGAACCGTATTATTCTAAATGCATTAGTACTTAATGCACTGTTTTTAGGGCACCTTGGGAGTCTTTACTTCTCTTTATTTAAACAGTAGCATATATTGTATCTCAATAAATTTGCTAATTTTTAAGGTACCATAAGACTTGTTAATACATGTAGGAATTCACGTTAAATCTTAGTATACTCGGAGAAGAAAATACTAAGTAAACAGTTTCTTCAACAGTTTTCAATATGTGTAGCATTATTGTGTAATATAGGGACGCGGGTGGCGCTGTGGGTTAAACCAGAGAGCCTAGTACTTGCCGATCAGAAGGTCGGCGGTTCGAATCCCCGTGATGGGGTGAGCTCCCATTGCTCAGTCACTGCTCCTGCCAACCTAGCAGTTCGAAAGCATGTCAAAGTGCAAGTAGATAAATAGGTATCGCTCTGGCGGGAAGGTAAACGGTGTTTCCGTGCACTGCTCTGGTTCGCCAGAAGTGGCTTAGTCATGCTGGCCACATGACCCGGAAGCTGTACGCCGGCTCCCTCAGCCAATAAAGCAAGATGAGCACCGCAACCCCAGAGTCGGTCACGCCTGGACCTAATGGTCAGGGGTCCCTTTACCTTTACTATTGCGTAATATATGTGAATTAGCTTTTAAAATGCTTCAGATTTGATATAGATGCTAAATGTTAATTTGCTATTCTTTGATTATTTTGCCCTCACAAAAACCTAAGTTTGAGAGGGAGTAGCTTTTCCAAGGATGCTTGGCTAATAGCAATGAGAGAAAATACTTGGGGGATAACGTATCACTGAAAAACAGCATAGTACCAATGAAGTATATTCTTATATAGTATGCCCAGTGTAAATTGGGGGTTGAGAGGGCAGGTGTTATTGTTGTGCAAACTCCCAATTCTGCAATTCTGCATCCACTAGTCACATTTGACCTCTACCGCTCCATAACTCTGCCTCTGAACCAGACATGGTTCTTTATTATTTATTATGTTGAGTTTTCTCACTTCATTTTAAAGACTTACAAGGATTCATCACTAATAACTGATTTGCAGCTCATGAGGAATTCAGATTTGCTGTATGTACACCAGTGTTAGTTGCCTGTAAATACTTTCATACATGTGCCATAAACTGTGATTGTGTTGTATAGTGTAGGGCGTGTGTCATGCTTTCTTGCTTTATGGCATGAATAAGACAAGGCAAACTGTTCCCACATGTCAGAAACGAATGGGGCCTTTTGGGTTGTGGTGCCAAGCCTTTGAAATACCCTTTCTCTTTCCATCTGGGGGGGCTATGCCTTATGACCTTTGGAAAGAGGTTGAAAACATTGTTCTCCAAAGCTTTTAATGAAACCGAGCACTGTTTCTTACTCTGACATCGTTTGTTGTTTCTTTCAATTGTTAATTGTTTTAACTGCTCTTACCTTGCTTTTTGTGATTTTATATTGTTAGTGATTTCACTAAGCATCATGATCAAGAGGCAAGATCAAAATACTTCAAATCAGGATTAGGGATCAGCTGGTCAGCCCCAATCACCATGGCCAATGGTTACGGATAAGGGAGTTCTAGACCAAGAACACTTCGGCAGACATAGGCTTTCCTCATTCCTGCCTTAGATCAATAACATACATTTGTTGCAACATTGTGAATTAGCCTTGAGCATGATTTTTAAACTGGGGTTCCTGAATCCAATCTTACTGGTGTCCCAACTATATCTTGATGTTGATTCCAGGGCTGATATAGAATTGGTTCCTGTTCAACAAGGAAATTAATTTTAGTTAAAAATAAGCATGCACACCACAAATATGTTGTGCAATCCTATGCTTTTTATTTAGAAGTATGTCACCCTGAACTAATCAGGGCTTACTTTCTAGCAAGTTTGTTGAGGATTGCATTATTAATTCTCTTAAGCTAAGCTCCCTTCACTGTGAACATGTTTAAATATGCTCTCCCTCCTCCCCAACTGTGTTTTCTTTGAACTGTTTTCCATGTTATAGAAGATGCTCTGTGAGTTTCTACAGTGTAAGTGACTTTTGACTGCTTACCCTTCATAGCATTGGGTGGGCTTTGGAAATGCTGGGCTCTGATGTGGCTGCTGTTCTCAGAATAGCAACATGCCCTAAGGCAGCAAACAGGTTTCTCTTCGTTTTGAAATGTTTTATAAGCAACAGCTAATTTTGCATGAATATGATTAAGTGTTAGCAAGGGCAGGTTAACTGTCAATGCGTGGGGTTTTTGTCATTTATTTTGGAGCCTTAGGGCAGTAAAACAAAAAGCTATTTTGCCTCAAGCCACTGTAGTCAGAGAAGACTTATGTTCTGGAGAATCCTCATTGTATTGATATTTGTCACTTCAATGCAAATGTCTGCTTTTCATTTTTCTATTTTTCTTTTTTACATAGTTAAAATTCTTTTTTTTTACACAAGGTTAGAAAGCTCCCAAGACAGTCTTGTTTGAACATACCATGGGTAAAAGATGCATTAAGGAAGATCTTAAGATTTTGCTTGTTGGTCAAACTTTATGAAATTCTACCCACTGGAGGCCTTATGAACCCTCAGTGGTGCTTTTCTTTTGAAGCAGCTTGTGCGATACACTTTTGCTTTTGAAAAATGTAAGCTGAATCCTGTGCCCATTTATCCACCAGAGCAATTACATATCTGTGCGAGTTCTGAAGTATGGAGGGAATATGCCCCAAAGGCAGCGTGACCTTGAGGTGCATTCATATTGCTTGTTATATTTTCAGCTCTCCTGGAAAGCTTTAGCTCAGTTCTTCAGAACAGCATTTTGATTGCGGTGAGAAATTTGAAAACAAGATGACAGTGTGTCTGAAAAGCATGGTGACAAGTAATCAAACCCCATTCATTTTACTTTCTCTTCCTTTTATTTTTGTGCACACTTCATTACTTTTAAAAGCATTCCATTTGAAAGGGTGGAAGTAGTCTTCTTTATACGCTATTCGTGAAGTGAATGGGTGTTGTGCTTGCAGAAGGATGTACGGCTAAAACGTTCAGCATTTGCTTAGAAGATTGTATGCCATATTGAAGAGGGCTAAATATGTATTGGGTAAAAAAAAGAACTAGAATTTAATTTCATTGATGGCTGTAGAGAAATGGCTCAAAACTAATGTTAGTTCATTCTTACGACTTGCACATTGTTCATGTTAATTATAGTCAGGTGGTGCCAATGCCAGACAGCGTTCTCCACTACCCACAATAAAGTTATTTGGATTGGTTTGGATTGGTAGATAGAGGAAGGCAGGTATGCCTACAGAAGGTTAGCTGATTAATCTCAGTCTCATTTCCTGCCCATGCTGTTGTCTTACCTGAACATAATTATTGCTGTGAGAATAAGCTTTTTGGTTTCTGTTGCAGACACCTGTTAATTTTGTGCTTTATCTTCACTAAGTTAGAGTGAAACGAAGTTTATTCCTGTTGTATTTTGTTTTGCTAATGCAGAATAGAACATCACACGTCTGCAAAGATGAAAAGAAAAGTGGCCAAAGCTGTGGGACTTAGACTTAGTCCTAATGAAGAAGCTCAGCTGCTGAAAGAAGAACATGAAAGGAGAAGGAAATTAAGGCTACAGCAGGTGTGTTTGCATTGTTGGGAATGGCCTTCCTTTAGGCCAGGGGTTCCCAAGCTTGGGTCTCCAGACTACAGGTCC